CCTGCTATTGCAGGTAAAAAGGGCAAAACCGACAAAAAAAATGACAAGTTTGCGGTATAAACGAACAAAAAATATGCTAAAGGGTAAAACCGACATTTTCTGTCAAACTTAAGGCTTTTTATGACATTATCCCTACTTTTTATTATTATAAATTTTTAATTAATTGTTATTTGTGGTGTGGTAATAAACAAGATAAACTTTGGAGCCTTATTTTTGTCTCTCTTTATCTATATATAATTGTTTGGATGGAAACTTTATTTTTATATTTTTATGGTCCGCTTGAGTTTTCACATTATTTTAGTTAATTTTTTTAATATGTTTTAACTCTCAAGAAAATAACCTTATTTAAATGATTCTTTATTATCTTCTAGATTCGGCCTCCTAATTATAAGGTGTGTAGTGTTCGGTTCCTTCTTAGTTCCCACGTTTCTCGTTAATGCTATAGGTATAAATACATGAGCCTTGAGAGACCAATGGTCTTTTTGGCCACGTATTAATTAACAAATTAAAGGCAAAATGCAATAATCCAAAACTACTGTGATTGTCTAAATTAGGGTATAAATAACGCATTCAACTGAAAGCTTTAGTCCCTAATATACATTAGTAATCCATCCTCAAACACAGATAAAGACACAGGGATCCATGGCAGTGATGCTGCATGAACCACGAGTGAACCACATTTCAGCTATTGATCGGAGTGGAATTGCATCTCCTGTTATTAATAGCAAAGACTATAATCATCAAGAGATTAACCCTAAGAAGGTTTCATCATGCATTCTTTTCAAATTTCAACACAGAAAATAAGCAGATATCCAACTTTAGTTTGTGTTTCTTTATTTAGATGTCGAATTTTATTAGAGAGGATAATTAAGCTCATGCTTAAAGCTATACGAATGGCTAAAGTTTTTTTTACCATAAAGTGCAACTGAACTCCTTTTTTATTCTTGTAAAGGATAATCCTCAGCAGCCTGCTGGATGGAGAACTTTCCTCTCGTTTGTTGGTCCTGGTTTCCTAGTTTCATTGGGTTACCTTGATCCTGGGAATTGTATGTCTAATTTTGATCATTTGATATCTTGTTTTGCATTATCTAGTTGCAAACTTATGAATATTTTTTATGCAGTTGAAACTGATTTACAAGCAGGAGCAGACCACAGATACGAGGTAAATGTTCAGGCCTGGAACGTTCATAGCTATAGTATAAATAAACGCCCTTCAGTTATATCAATGAAGAGTTTAATCTTTTCAGTTACTTTGGGTGATTCTGATTGGGTTAATCTTTGCACTTGTGATTCAATCTCTTGCTGTAAATTTAGGAGTATGTACTGGTATGACAAAGAATTCATCCTATGAATTTGTTTGCTTATTGTAAAACTAGAATATAAATATATCTAGAAAGTATGAGGTTTTTTTGTTCAGGGAAGCATCTATCAGAGATATGCAAGGCTGAATACCCAATATTTGTGAAATACTGCCTGTGGCTGCTTGCTGAGATTGCTGTCATTGCAGCCGATATTCCTGAAGGTTATAAATAAGGAGCTTATCTATGAAGATTATTTAAATGATGGGTTTAATTATATTTCCTCTACGCAAATTTTCATTAAAATTGTGATAACTCTTCTCTTTCACGTTGACAGTGATTGGGACGGCTTTTGCACTAAATATCTTATTCAAACTTCCACTTTGGGTCGGGGTTCTTCTTACTGGTTTTAGCACCCTCCTATTTCTTGGCATCCAAAGATATGGTGTAAGTTTACTTTTCTTATTACAAAGTCTGTGGCCTTTATGGAAGAAGACAGGTTTTCATTAATTATATTAATTTTCAAGAAGTTTATGTATTATCTGAATAGTTCCCATTATATTAATGTTCACATCTTAACTCTAAGTTCATTATTTCTGCACACACACATATAGGTGAGGAAGCTTGAAGGGATAGCCGTTCTAGTTTTGGTTATGGCCGGTTGTTTCTTTGGAGAAATGAGCTACGTGAAGCCACCAGCTGCTGATTTACTAAAGGGAATGTTCATTCCAAAACTTGGTGGCCGAGGGGCTACTGGTGATACCATTGCACTACTTGGTGCTCTTGTAATGCCGTATGATCCCATTGACCATAAACTCAATTTGATTATGATCTTCCCGAGAAACTGTTTTAGTTTTTTTAACAGGCATTTTCCTCTATAAAACAGGCATAATCTCTTTCTACATTCTGCTCTTGTTCTCTCCAGGAGGATACCAAATTCAGTTCATGGTGTCAATGTAAGTCGTTGCATGGATAAGGACACTCATAAATATTGAGACCTGAAAGATCTAAAACATTCCTTTTCATAAGTTATCTAATTAAGTACAACACGAGTTCATGTACTTGATGGGTGCATGATCTTTTGTACTCCAGGATGCATGCAGATATTTCCTGATAGAAAGTGGCTTTGCTCTCTTTGTCGCATTTTTAATCAACGTGTCAATTGTCGCTGTTTCTGGTACTGTTTGCTCAGGCAAGAACATATCAAGTGACTCCTTGGATCGCTGCAATGATCTTAGTGTTCATTCAGCTTCATTTCTTCTTAGAGTATGAGTTATATAGGACGTAAATCTTATCAATCTTATATAAGGATCCTTAATTAATAGCAGATTCATAACCCATTATTTTACTACACAGAATGTTTTAGGTAAGTCAAGCTCCACTCTCTATGCAATGGCACTGCTAGCTTCCGGGCAGAGTTCAACCATAACTGGCACTTACGCTGGACAATTTATAATGCAGGTTAGGAAATGGCATTACAAACGCATTTTCCAATGCAAACAACTTTGGTATTATTCTTAATAAGAATAATAAAAAAGTTCTTTGCATTGCAAAATATGTTTGTAATGACATTTCTCTTTTAGCTAGCTTCACCTTTCCAATACTCAAGGTGTTATTATGCGCTGTGTGCATCATGCTATCCTGTAGGGTTTCTTGGAATTAAAGATGAGGAAATGGCTGAGGAATCTGATAACACGATGCATAGCCATCATGCCTAGTTTAATAGTTTCGATCATTGGTGGATCTTCTGGAGCTGAAAGACTAATTATCATAGCATCGGTCGGCATCTATCTTTTATTTGTAGTATGACATTACAAATACACTTCCAACTTTCTTTAAAATTGAGTTTCCGTAACGATCTTTGGCAGATGATATTGTCATTTGAACTTCCTTTTGCCCTCATTCCACTCCTCAAATTTAGTAGCACGACAACAAAAATGGGTCCTCACAAAAATTCAATGATTGTAAGTTGGAAATCTTTTATGTGCTATGCATATCAGTTAGCTGAGATTCAAAATAAAACAAAATGCCTTTTTCTTGTGTAGATAATCGTTTTCTCATGGGTGGTAGGAGTTGGGATAATCGGCATCAACATTCATTACTTGAGCACCACATTTGTCAATTGGCTGATTCGTAGCACTTTGCCTAAAGTTGCTAACGTCTTCATCGGGATGCTAGTGTTCCCTGTCATGGCTATCTATGTTCTATTCCTGCTCTACCTTATGTTCCGTAAAGATGTTGTCACTTTGGAACCTAGAAAACTTGATCGTATTGCTGACAGAGAGGATCTTGCTGATATGCCATATAGTGCAACTGAAATGTCTTTTGTGAATTCTTCTGTTATTTAGCCATAAGATAGTCTTTGTCTTTGTTAAAATCTTTCAGTATTCTCTAGTTAGTAGCACTAGTGTCATTAGGGGCTGATAGGAGCAGAACCCATCTGTAAGTTATATCAGCCTTGTTTCACTATTTAGCGACATAATTAGGGAAGGTATCAAATCTGTCATTGTGTACTGTCGTGAATGCTTGGCTATTTAGGTAATCAGGACTGTCGCACAACGTGTTGTTACATATCTGTCTCAAAATGGTCTCTGAGTTTACATTTAGCAACGAAATTGCCAGCAAAAGAACACAGACTGAGTTTAAGAGACGAATATTCTGCTTGCATGATGTGTCTCATTCATACAAGAAACATCACATCTTCCTAATTTACGAATTATATAAGCTCTTCACAACGGAATTTCAATCGCTCAAAACCATCTAATTCCTACCTAAATATTAAAACCATATATAGCTATCAATATGAATTTTAGCGCTACTTTTGTCAAACTACACTGTTTTTAGGATATTGGCCTGTGATTGTTCTTTCTAGATACTGTTTAAAAATCGAATAACAAAAATTAAGTATGCACTATTAGGAAAGAAAAATGTGTAATCCTAGCTTCTCGCTAGCTTTATCCTCGGAATGAAATCTTTCTTGCTGTTTAAAAAAAAAGGAAAGAAAAATGTTCTTACTGGCTTACTGCATGAAAAAATCTTTGATTTTCTTGTAAATCCCATATTAATGTCAACTATATTTATTCTTTCAAATTATGCAAAGATATTCCTACATTCCCTCGAGTGGGAGCATTTATTCCATATAATTACACACAAAGATATTCCTACATTGGAGCATATAAATTTAGAATGCACAACTTACGAGAATATAGTGTAATTGTGTCTTCACAAGGGCTTTCATAAAGGTGTCGTAAAGGTGTCTGTGAGTAGTTATGATATACTTATAAAAACAAGCACTAACTTTTAGAGATTGAGTCTCCTGACGACTGAAATGCACTAACTGAAAGACATGCATAGGCAATTGCCACTAAACTTAAAGAGTTATTAGCAAGGAAATGCACTACCAGAAAGACATGCATAGGCAATTGCCACTAAACTTACAGATCATTAGCGGACGGAATTTTCTTCACATATATAACGACAGATTGTAACCAAATTAGTGTAGGATTACCAACAGAAAACAAGTTGTGTGGGTTATATATATTTAAAGGTCCATAAAGAGTATAAGGCTAAAAGTAACCTACTAACATAATGAATTGTCCAACATAAGTTCCTATCATTGTTGAACTCTAACCAGAAGCTAGCAACGCAATTACATAACCAAAACATTATGTATAGTAAAAACAGTGTTAAATTTTGAGTCTTTTGCCGAGGTTCTGGTTGTAGCAATTATAAAATTACATCTTATATAATCTCATACTTTTAGAAGAAACGAAGTTGATTTCAGTGTAAGATCGTTGCAAAGATCCATTCCGACAGTTGCAAGTGACAAAATGGATCGTTGCAGCGATCTTACACTCAACTCATTCGTTTCTTCTAAAATTATGAGATTATATATATAAGATGTCAGTTGTATAATTACTATAACAACTTTGACAAAAGACTCATAATTTAACACCGTTTTTACTACACATAATGTTTTGGAGATGTAACGTCTCAAAATAGTAATAATTTTTTTTTTCATTTAAAAGTCGTTCAAATCATTCATTAATTGTTCGGAACCCATACAAATCATAGTATTAAATCATCAGAGTACAAAGTATTTCAAATGCGGAAACTATGAAGGGAAGATGTTGTGTCATCACGTCGGGCCTTTCCCTTTGGAGTGGAAGTACCTGAAACAATAAACACAAACTGTAAGTATAACGCTTAGTGAGTTCCCCAAGTACCCAATATCACACATGAAAGAAGATAAATGTTATGGGCCAAATCATAGTCTTTTCGTTCAGTGTCGAGGGCCAAATCTCGGTCTTGCATACAAATGCCAGGGGTCAGATCCTGGTCTTTCATATAACTGTCAGGGCTAGATCCTGGTCTTTCATACAAATGTCAGGGGTCAGATCCTGATCTTCTATATAATCATCACAAGGCATCCAAAATTTTACACAACAAACAATGGGTCGGCTTTAGTGCCTTCGACCCATGGATCTAGTGAGGAAACTCACCTCAACTACTGAAAAACCCAGATAAACGCTCGGGCTGCTGGACTGGAGAAATCCCCATGCTAACTAAACAATAGAGTCCCAATTAATAATTGAGACATAACCCAAAACTAAAAACCTACAATACTTGCCTAATGCCCAAGGTAAAAATGTCCAAGTAGTCTTTTAAGCCCAATAAAATCCTAGGCCCAACCCCAAGGATCGTCCAAGGTCCAATATGGGCCCAACATCAGAAGTGGCCCAACAACAAGTAAGTATATGGTCCAGCCCAACAAGTAAGCCTAACGATTAAGGCCCAAAAATCACCCCAAGCTGGATTGGGTCGTACACGTAGCGTACTCGGCCGAAGTGGGGGGATCGCGACTGGGATGCAGTACCTGCGGCGTACCAGGAGTTACGCCTGGTGTATGCAACCCTCATGCAAACTCATGCAAAATGTCTTAATTACTTAAGACCCTACCACTAAAACGTAGATCTGAACCCGCTAAGACCCCTAAGGCCATAAAGTTGCAAACTTTATGCCTTTACATGGCTACAAGAAGCCCAACACTAAAAACCTAGCTTACTTAACCCTTTTCTACACCCTAACTCTTGGATGGGGACAAATCAAGGTCCAAACTTGCATCTTTATTACTTGAAATGCCTTAAAATGTCTAAAAGGACGCCTTGAAGGCTTAGGAGTACCTCATACTCACCAAGCCCTAGACTTTGGGACAAAAAGGAAGAAAATCAAGGCACAACTAAGATCTAAAGAAACATAAGCCAAGTTTGGAGCTTTATACCTCCAAATGGTGAACAATGAAGAGCAGATGTTGGATCCAAAGTCTTGAGAGTAAAGATTACCCTTGAAGGTCCTTCTTCACAACCAAGGAAGCACAAAATCACTCCAAAAAGCTCAAAATGCTCAAAATGAACTAGGGTTTGCAAAGAGGGTCGATCTTGGGATGGAGGCTGGTAAAGGGAAAGATCTTGGAGCCATAATGGTGTTTAAATTGTACATAAACCCTAATTATTAGGGTTTTGGTCTGAACCACATACGCCCGGTGTACCGAAGTACGTGCAGTATATTGGGACGGGACATAGTACGCTCAGTGTACCAAGGCATACGCCCCGTATACTCGAGCAACACCAAAAAAGTCACGGATTTTGACATTGGGGACCCTTCTTGCAACAAATGACACTTCCTTGTTACACAAAACCTTCATCTTTCGGTCTAAGATCGCCATTGGCCTCTCAATATAGTTCAGGCGATCATCGACCTGAATATCATCTAGAGGAACAACTACGGACTCATCGGCTACACACTTCCGAAGCGGCGACACATGGAAGGTCTTATGGATCTGACTGAGCTCATCAGGAAAATCCAGCCGGTATGCTACCTTGCCGACTCGGACCGAAATCCTGAAAGGTCCGATAAATCTAGGGCCCAGCTTGCTCCACTTCCGAAGCGGATAACAGCTTTCCAAGGTGACACCTTCAGAAGCACCAAGTCTCCTACCTGAAACTCAAGGTCTGAACACCGCTGATCGGCATAACTCTTCTGCCGGCTTTGTGTGACTTGCAATCTGCCGTACACCTGCTGAATCAACTCCGTAGTCTTGAGTACAACTTTTGTACACCCCATGACTCGGTGCTCGACATCCCCCCCCCCCAACAAACTGGAGTCTTGTACCTTCTTCCATACAACATCTCAAATGGCGGTCGATCGATACTGACATGATAATTGTTGTTGTGGGAGAACTCGACCAGTGGATGGTAAATGTCCTAATTTTCTCCAAATCCCAACACACAATCTTGGAGTATATCCTCGAGCTTCTGAATCGTCTGCTCACTCTGGCTATCAGTCTCAGGATGGTATTTTGTACTAAAATGCAACTGAGTACCCAACTCCTCATGGAACTTCCTCCAAAACCTAAAGGTGAAACGAACATCCCGGTCCAAGACCACCGAATTGGCACCCGTGTCGAACAACCACCTCTTGAACATAAATATCAACTAACTTCTAGGCAGATATGTTATCGGCAATCGGTATGAAATGTGCACACTTGATCGGTCTGTCGACGACGACCCACATAGAATCAACACCATGTGTCGTCCTTGGAAATTTTGTGATGAAATCTTGTAACGCCCGTAGATCCGGGATAGTCAATTTAGAGATAATAGGGGTCGAAAATGACTTTTCGACAAAAGATTATTTAGAATAAATAATCTTAACTGAGTTGTAGAATATGACTCAAGGGTTCCGTACATATAAAGAACGCCAAAATCCAAGTTATAACGAAGAAGTTATGGTCCGTCGAAGTTTTTCAGCAAAACCGGCACGGCACCGGGAGACGTAAATAGTGAATTTACGATAGAGGACCTTTTAGCCTTGGTGATCTAAACAAAATTTGTAGTATACGTTAAACCGAGAACATACTAAAAAAAAGAACGCCCAAATCTGACTTCGTATGAGGAAGTTATGAATTTTCTAAGATTTGGCATAGCAGTGCACGGCCCGAAACTCGAATTTTAGTTCGAGCGGTTTTTGGCTTACGCGACCTAAATGAGAGTTGAATATCTCATTAATAGGAACTCAACGGTAAAAAGACAGATGAAAACGGAGTCTGTATGAAGGAGTTACGAATTTTTCGCGGTCATTTAACAGTCTAATATCCTTCTACTGTTAAATTTAAGATCAGTCGAGAATTAGCCGATTGAGTCTAAATGAAAGTTTTAGATCTTGTTTTTACCTACCCATGGATATAAAGAACGTCGAAAACGGAGCTCGTATGCAAGAGTTATGATTTTTCTAAGTCGGGAGGCTGCTGTGCGAAATCGGGTGACGTGGCGAAATTCTGTCCGTTGCTTCCTCCCCAAGGCTAGCCACCAGAGGGTGACATGTGGCATGGACTCGACGAGTAGGTCCTCCTACTCGACGAGTTGGGTTGTTTCCCAGCCTATAAATAAGGGTGTCGGGTGAAACCTTCTCCTCACACCTCCCACTTCTACTTTCTCTCTCTAGAAACTCTCTCTAAGCCTCCCTAACCCCCCAAAGCCTAGGGTAACTCCCTAGCACGAGGCGGAAGCCCCGGAGCGCCTGACGGCTCTGAAAAGAAGAGCCTTCGGCTCAGAAACTCTACTTCGGCTGTAACATCCGGATTTCCAGGGACA